TGTGGTCATTTTTAACTATTGGGGAGTTGTCCCTCAATGCCTGTGGTGGTTAACTAGAGAAAGATGAACATGTGAAAAAGCATAATAGGTCTCTTTAAAAAAACACAGACTTATTACATTTGTTTACATTATTTAATATAATGGTAAATCCATTTTTAACTTTGAAATATATTTTGGAATAGAATAGAATTTAATAGAATAGAACTTTGAAATGAACTTAGAAAAGAACATTGAAATATCTTTTGGAATAGAATAGAATAGACAAATAAAATAGAATAGAATAGAACTTTAATATTTTTACATCTGAAGAAAGTGTGAGTGGTGCTTGCAATGCAAAACTCATTATCATGATGCTAAGATCTTCTGAGTGGATTTCAGCACACTGCTATACGGTTGCTATGGTGTTGTTGTGGGTGGTTGCTAGGTGGTCGCTTGGCTGAGTTTTTTGCTCCCAAGAAAAGTAAAACAGTATGAATTTTTCTACACTTGAGCCAGCAGAAGAGAAACCAATAGGAGATGTGTGTGTGTGCTTTGGCAGCAGGGTTGTAAATGCCAGCTGTGGCTCTGAGAGGATTAAGAGGATCATGTGGTTCATTCTAGAGGCTGTTCCAGGATCAGGTGAAGCTTGCTTCTCCTTTTCCAGTGAAACAATGAAGAAACTGCAGTCATCAACGAAACCACTAATTAACTGAGTTTGAGCCTATTTCTTCTTCTTTTCTTGTAGAGCTTTTCCATAAAATGAAGCTTTCCTCTTGCTGCTTGATGTGGGGCCTCCTCGTCTACTTAGGGAAGTGTTATGTGTAGTTGAACCTTTTGTTTTAACTGTTTTAACTTCTCAAGTCGCTGTTCCATCAATCCTGAAACACACAGTAGTGAATCCACTCCGCAAAAAGGCTAGTTCAGATCCCTATATTTTAGATAACTATCGGGCAATTTCAAAATTACCATTTTTATCAAAAGTAATGGAAAAGGCTGTTTTCCATCAATTGACTGTATTTTTAAGTGAGAATAACTTCTTAGATAAGTTTCAGTCTGGTTTCAGACAACATCACAGTGCAGAGTCAGCTTTGCTGAAGGTGTTGAATGATCTTTTGTTGGCTGTGGATTCGGGTAACTGTGTAATTTTGTTTCTTTTGGACTTCAGTGCAGCTTTTGATACCGTTGGCCATGCTTTCTTGCTTGAACGGTTGAGTAACTGCGTAGGAATTCAAGGTACCGCATTGAATTGGTTCAAATCCTTTCTTTCTGATAGAACATTTTCAGTGGAAGTTGGGAATTTTTCTTCCTCTTCTGTACCTCTAACTTGTGGTGTACCTCAGGGCTCTATTTTGGGCCCGCTGTTGTCGCTGTATTTGCTCCCGTTTTTTTTTTTTATAGGCTTGATTTTTCGATTTTTCATTCCTTAGCATTTGTATGCGGATGACACCCAGGTGTACCTCCCTTTGAAAAATGGAAATAATTATGACACACTCTCTGTTGAACTGTCTTGAGGAGGTAAGATGCTGGCTGGCAGCTAATTTTCTAACATTAAATGACTCTAAAACTGAAATTGTATAGTTTTTGGACCACCAGCTTCTATTATACAGATAAATGACCATCTTTAACTGGGAATTCTCAGGCTCATGCCAAAAATTTGGGAGTGATTTTTGATAACGCCCTTAAATTCGACAAACAAATCAATTCAGTAGTGAAGAGAAGCTTTTATCATCTCAGATCCATTGTGAAATTAAAAGCGTTTTTAACAGTAAAAGATTTGGAGACAGTGATTCATGCATTTATTTCCTTCAGGCTGGATTATTGTAACGCACTGTACCTTGGTGTGGCTAAGTCTTCCTTATCCCGCCTGCAACTGGAACAAAACGCTGCCGCCAGGCTTCTCACTGGAAAGAGGGAACATATTTCACCTGTTCTTGCTTCGCTTCACTGGTTGCCGGTCGAATACCGTGTTAAGTTCAAGGTTTTGTTGTATGTGTATAAGGAGTTCAATGGCCAGGCTCCTCACTACATTACAGATCTTCTTCTCCACCGGAGATGTTTTAGGCCCTTGAGGTCTTCAAACAAGTTGATGCTGACTGTGCCACGATCTAGAAGGAAGTTAAAGGGTGATCGTGCCTTCTCTGTTGCTGCTCCACGTCTGTGGAATGATTTGCTAGAACACTTAAGGCTGTCTTCAAATGTTGCTTTAAATCTTTACTAAAGACTTATTTTTTCTCTGTGGCTTTTGGTTCAATGTAATTTTATGAAATTTTGCGTGTTCCTGTTTGTTTATGTATTTTCTTGTCTGAAGTGATTGTACAGCACTTTGGTCAGCAGTGGCTGTTTTAAACGTGCTCTATATAAAAGTGCCTTGCCTCGTCTTAATTGAACTGTCTGGAAAACGTTGACGCTGGGATGGGAACAGCTGTCGCACATTATCAGAGCTGCTGATGGGCTGAATGACCTCATACGAGGAAAGAACCAGCAGAAGAAACTCCTCTCTGACTGCCAGACTGCAGATGTTGATGAGCAACAGCCTAACCCTGTAAACCTGCAGAGGTGAAACACTCATGAACACAACAGCAGGAACACACTGAGAGCTGATGCTGGAGAACCCTGACATATCTAGAAAAGAACTTAGAAAAGAACTTTGAAATATCTTTTTTTGGAATAGAATAGAATAGAATAGAAATTTGAAAGGAACTTAGAAAAGAACTTTGAAATATCTTTTTTTGGAATAGAATAGAATAGAACATAACTTTGAAAGGAACTTAAAAAAGAACGTACATATCTTCTTTTGGAATAGAATAGAATAGAACTTTGAAAGGAACTTAGAAAAGAACTTTGAAATATCTTTTTTAATAGAATAGAATAGAATAGATCTTTGAAAGGACCTTAGAAAAGAACTTAGAAAATAACTTTGAAATATCTTTTTTTGTAATAGAATAGAATAGAACTTTGAAAGGAACTTAGAAAAGAACTTAGAAAATAACTTTGAAATTTCTTTTTTTAGAATAGAATAGAATAGAACATAACTTTGAAAGGAACTTAAAAAAGAACGTACATATCTTCTTTTGGAATAGAATAGAATAGAACGTTGAAAGGAACTTAGAAAAGAACTTAGAAAAGAACTTTGAAATATCTTTTTTTGGAATAGAATAGAATAGAATAGAATAGAACTTTGAAAGGACCTTAGAAAAGAACTTAGAAAAGAACTTTGAAATATCTTTTTGGAATAGAATAGAATAGAATAGAATAGAATAGAATAGAATAGAATAGAACAGAACAGAACTTTGAAAGGAACTTAAAAAAGAACGTACATATCTTCTTTTGGAATAGTATAGAATAGAATAGACCTTTGAAAGGAACTTAGAAAAGAACTTAGAAAAGAACTTTGAATTATCTTTTTTTGGAATGGAATAGAATACAATAGAATAGAACAGAACTTTGAAAGGAACTTAAAAAAGAATGTGCATATCTTCTTTTGGAATGGAATAGAATAGAATACAATACAATGGAATAGAATAGAACAGAACTTCGAAAAGAACTGAGAAAAGAACTTTGAAATATCTTTTTTGGAATAGAATAGAACAGAACAGGACAGAACTAAGGAACTTAAAAAAGAACGTACATATCTTCTTTTGGAATAGAATAGAATAGATTTTTTTTCACATGACAAAAAAATGATTGTCCCATGATGGAAGTAGTGGATTATGTTGTGAATATAAGAAGGGATTATTTGCGTTAGGCAATTTTTTGTTCAATGAATTTTAGTCTGCAAACTGTCAAATATAAGAAAACATCTTGACACTAGAAGAACTGTAACCAATCTGTACATTCATTTAGTTCACAAATGCCATTAAACCTTATAGGACCTTTATTGTATTCATCAAAGGACATTACATAGATCAGAAGTGACAGTAAGTTACAATAGTAATATTTCTATTTCAAATAAATGCTGTTCTATTAATTTTTATATTCATCAAAGGATCCTGAAAAAAGTTTCCACAAACAAATATATACATTTTTCACACAAAATCAGGGTTTCCGACTGTATTTAGGAATTTGGCGAACAGGGTACATCAATTGTGAATCTCATTTAGAAATAAATAAATAAAACAGCTCATGTTCAGTTTGACCTCCTGTGGTGTCAGTCACTCTTTTCTGAATCACCCTTTCGTGGATCATTTGTAGAAAATGAATGAATGAATGAATGAATGAATGAATGAATGAACTGCTTAAAGACCCACTCCGATGAAAATAATGTTTTTCTAGGTGTTAACATGTTCTTGTGGCATTTTTCTGATGTTAGAGGACATATCTTGAGAAAAATAAGCTCAAAGTTGTATTTCTGAGTATTTCTACATTCGAATGGCTGTGAATCAGCTCAGACGCTAAAATGCCGGCTAAAATAGACTGGAGTTGTGACGTAGTAACTCCACTGGGCGACTCCACACGCGACGTCTTGGAGTGAAATAATGATCGGTGATCGGTGATAACTTTGATTAACTTCGGATAATAATAATTAACGTGTATATAATACTGTTGCCCCACCGGTATTGGGGGTGTAAGCTAGCGGGAGAGACGGAGCTCTCAGCAACGGGCAGGGGGAGGGTCGTCTCCGTGCCAACGGCTCCGCCCACAACGCAGAGGCGAATTGCTAATGAGCTACTGCCGCTCTGCTGAAGCGAAGTCCCAGAAAACGGCACAGGTTTTGTGATTTTGGCTAGAAATGGCATAATCATAATTTAAAGACCACTGGGAATGTTTAAAAATAGCTCAAAATATGATCGGAGTGGGACTTTAAGAGTATATTTACATATGACAAAACACTTTTGTTTGTTTGTTTCTTTTTTAATAAAAGATTTTAAATAACTCTATGATCTATAGAATCATCTGAAAGTTACTGTATTCTTGGCACACGTGATGTGTGTGATGTAATGTGATCTGATGTGTGTAATCAGATGTGTGTGAGGAGAGGCGGGCTCTAGGACCTGCGCGAAAGCCGCCAGAGATCCGCTCGATCAGCGCAGCTCTAGTCTGGAGAGGCTGTCACTGCGCTCGGCTTCATCATCATCATCTTCCTCCTCATCACCGAAAACACACACACACGCACGCACGCGGAGCGGGTCGCCAGCGCTCGGAGCCGCTCATGATGCGCAGGATTCGGGCCAACGCCATCCTCATCCTCACCGTGGCCTGGATCCTCGGCACCTTCTATTACCTGTGGCAGGACAGCAAACCCTCCTCTTCATCCTCCTCCTCTTCCTCGGGCTCCCAGCTGAAGATCCACGGGCTGAAGTCCTCCTCCGGGAGGCTGGAAGAGCGCACTCTTCCTCTGATCGTGAGTAACGGTGGTGGTGATGATGATGATGATGATGATGATGATGATGATCTTCATGACTGATGTTCACTGCACATGCTCAACATCACTGCTGTAATGCGCGCGTGTATGCATGTTGACTACAGCAGCTTTCACTGCTGGTATATGGAGCTAGTGTGTGTGTGTGTGTGTGGTTCTCATCAGCGTGATGTCAGGTGCATAAGAGGCTTTTCCTTAAGCCAGTTGCAGGTGTGTGTGTGTGTGTGTGTTTGCAGATCCATGTGCTGCTTTTGTTGGGATTTAACCTACTATCCAGGCTAGATCAGTAACAGCCTGTGTCATATCAGCAATCCAATAATTAGACATTTGTATTCTGGATTCATATCTGGATTTCATATTTTAATTAGGAACTAGTCCTAACATATTCTAATTAGAATTTTCTTATATTCTTATAAAGGTCTTTAATATCTATGGAACCTTTCAAATGCACAAAAGGTTATTTATGATGGAAAAAGGTTCAGATTATTAAAAAGTTCTTTACATCAAGAAAAAAAAATCAAAAACGATTATTTTAAGATCTAACCGCTGAAAGTTTCTTCTATACGGCATCTCTGCAAAAAAAAAAAAAAAACTTTTGGAACCTTCATTTTTAAAAGTCTAGATTTCAACATTTCTAATATGTAATATTTCTAATATATAATAGTAGGCAACTGTAATAGTAGCTCCAATAGAACTGGGGGAAAATGTTCAAACTTGATTTTATAGAAAATATAGGATTTTAAACCTTCCAACCCTGACTGATCATCCAGTGGTTGTTGAGGAAGATCTGCTTCAAACTCATCCTGACACGCAGTGTAAATGACAGAGTCAGATCCTGTGTGTGTGAGGTGTGTGTTCTGCAGGACAGCTGTTTGCTGTTTGTTTGGCTCTTCTCACAGTTGGACTCCACATTCATCATGTCGAGGGCAAACGCTCAGGTTTGACTTCTCAGTCTGCTGGCTTCAGAAAGATCACAGAATCAAGGAATCTAAAGTTAAATGTGAAAATGCAGATGCTTTACAGAAGACCCGAGAATCCTGCATCCCTGAACTGTGTCCTGTGTCCATGGCAACAGAGCATCAGTCGTGTGACGCCGGCCACCAACGAGTGTGTGTGTCATGACAAACACACAGATATGTGTGTTTACATGCACAGGAGATAATGGTCAAATGAGTCTTCAATGCCTTTATCCTGCGGCCTTGGCCATTATGATCTACAGAGAAAATATTATACATTCATCTTAACATATTGAATTTGACCAGTGGTTTCTTAATAATTACAGATAATTCTTATATAAAGTTCAGTTTAATATAGTCTCTAATATGTTAAAGTGGATGGGATGGCCAATGTAGATATATATTTCTGATATTGGCTAATGCAATTTAATTACAGGAACTGTGATCTACACATATATATGTGGCCTATTAATATTTCAACATATTTTAAAAATTTGTAAATAAATCAAAGAATAATGGAATGCGCTTCTTTTTTTTTTTTTACTTCACAATTTGACGGAAACTTGTAATTCGGTGATGTCACTTTTAAAGAAAGACTGCTCGCCCACACACACACACACACTGTACGCATCTATAGACTAAACACGTAATACACACGTGAACGCCGTCACCGTTTTCACAGATTCACGTTTTTGAAGTTTACACGGAGATGATAACGGTATCGTTTTCAAAAGTTATTTCAAAAAACCTATTTCAAAGTCTGCGTTCTCAGGCCACCAAAACGCCAACGTTCACATTTTTCTAAGTTAATAACTAATGATTTTTACAACAGAAATGAATCAATTAGAAACCTACTAGATCTACTGTACAGCAGAAACAATCTCTGCTGCATTATTCTCCTGTCATCACTGTAAAGATGCTTTGAAACAATCTGTATTGTAAACAGCGCTATATAAATGAAGGTGACTTGTTGTTGTTTGGGAAATTCACTAGCAATTTCTGACTGAAAATGATTTCTACACCAATCATTTTTTTCAGTGTTGGCTGTTTATGAACCGAGAACAAGCGAATGCAGATTTATAAGCCTGGTTGTCATTCGACTCATAACACAGAGTCTATTACTAATACGAATTCTCCAGCGTTGGCTTGTCCTCATAATACCCCATTAGCGGAGCGCTGTGAAGGGACAGTAATGCTCTCCTTTACCTCGAGTAATCCCGCTCTGATATCTGATCCACCCTGGAAGAGAAGATGAAATGATTGTGCACTCTCTATTAATGACACGAGTGCATTAACAAGTCCTGAACGAATCGGATAGCCTATATATGTGCTTTATCACAGCCATACGCAGTAATTCAAGCTGGTTTTTTATGGACAGTGTCTCTGGAGCATTGTTGCACAACGCATTTAAATAATTGCCCAGAGCCAATAGCAGCTCTTCCCTGTACGGAGCACTTCATGCAGTGCATCAATCTCAGCTATTCTTTTATGAGGGGAACAGATACTGAAATATCATCTCTCTCATGCTCTATTGTGTTCAGTTTAGGAGGAAGAGGAACAGATGCACTTCCCGCACCACTGGGAATTTATTAGATGCGTCTTTTATGCAAAGTGTGCATATCAGAGTGTTTGTTTCAGTGAGCAATATTTGCTTTCGCCAACTTCCCCCAGCATGTTCCTCCCGAGCACAAACTGATCAAATCAGTGCAGTTCTGCTAATGGCCTGGTTTGGTTTTGTTGTACTTTGTCCACTTGATGCATGTAAACAGTCCGAAACGCTTGGACACACACACAACACACACCAGATGTGTCTTATCAGGGCTGTTACTGGCTCGACTGAACGGGTTGATCAGTCACTGTTATGAAGTGAAGCAATGCAATACAGCATTATATTAACTCCTCTGTACAAATGACCTACAAAGGTTGTTTCAATTCAAATTTCGGTCAAATATGGAATAACCCAACCGTTGGGTTAAAAATGTAATTAAAAAACGTTACCCAACCTAACTTTACCCAAATTTGGGTTGAAACAAGCCGGCATTCTTTATGTGCAGTAACATCACAGATTATGAAGTGCTTGCTGTAATAATAATAATAATAATAATAAAAAGCAGATACTATATAAATAAATATTATGATAATAATAAAACATTGTGCATTTAAAATGTCATGATAATATAATTTGTAATTTTAAGGGTAAAAAATACTTAATTAATAGATATCGCCATATTTCCACAGTTGATTACATAAAAGAAAATTAATCAGAAAAGCCAGGTTCAGAATTATTCTTTCATACTGTTGACATTAAAGATGAAGGTTTTTACTGAGGGGATTTTGGATATCTCTTTTCACCACTTCATTAATGTTCATGTTTTAGCAATAAAATGTTTATGCAAGTGCTACTTAAAAGTAGATTTCTGGGGAGAAAAATGATTTAGAAAAAACGACCTTTGAAGATAATTGAAATCTACAGATATGATAACCAGTGTATTTTGGATGTTTTCTTTCCAGTAGTCTGAACAACATGTTGTGAAAAGCCCATAGCCCATGATACCACAATTGCCCAGAGCATGAGGAACACACAACACACACCGTCAGGGGTTATCCGTGTTCACTTTGGTTTTAGTTCAGTTTCCTTGGTTTTCATCAGTTTCTATGGTTATTCATTGTTTGATCAGTGTTTGGTTTGGTTGTGAGTGTTTTGTTCTGGTCATTGTCCATTCTCATCACGTTTATATCGGTTGCTCTGTTCGTGTTCTTTGCCTAGAGGGTTTTGTTAAATAAATCTTTACAGTGCTGCTGCATTTTGTTCTTGCGACCGACTTCGACACACACCAAAGGTTCCAGAAAGATGTTCTGCAGTCGTTCCTGTGCATCTTAGCTGAAGAACAGAGAGTGTGTGTGCTGAAGCTGTGGTGATGTGTCCTCATGTTAGATCAGCTCTGATCAGGCCTGATATGAGAATCAGGACACATTCACTGACACCTGCCGATTTTAAAGGGGTGGTATAATGCCCTTTTCACAAGGTGTAAAATAAGTCTCTGATGTCCCCAGAGTGTGTATGTGAAGTTTTAGCTCAAAATACCCCACAGATATTTTTATATATCATGTAAAATTGTCACTTTTTGAGGGTGAGCAAAAACTGATGTTCTGGAGCTTAGTGATATTTCTGAGGTGGAAGAAGGCTGTTTTTGTAACATATGAAACATGATTTTCTAATATAACACCCAGGTCTTTAACTGTAGAGGTTAAAGGAGAACTCCGGCGCAAAATGAACCTTTGGTCTAATTACACATTGTTGCCTAGTCAACCGTTATCTGAGATTTGTTTTCATGATTATCGAATGTAAATAGTTTTATCTCTAAAAACAGTTTAGCGTATAACGCTAGTAATGGGGGCATCTATTAAGTAAAAAGAAATCGCTAGTTTATACCACTAACAAGACTCAAAATAGCCCCACACTAACACGGTAGCATAATGAGGGTCCCTACCTTCAAACCGAAGCATTGAGAACTTTGTCAGTGTCCAGACAGTTTAATAAGAAGATATTTTAAACATACAGTCAACTTCGCGTATACAGACAGGAGCCATCTTTGAAATACAGTCTTTACCAGTCGATCTACGAACACCGATCCAAGCCTGCTGTTCGCGCTCACCTTATCACAACTTATAGCTCGTTCACATTCTCACCAGCGCACTTGGATCGGCGTTCGTAGATCGACTGGTAAAGACTGTATTTCAAAGATGGCTCCTGTCTGTATACGCGAAGTTGACTGTATGTTTAAAATATCTTCTTATTAAACTGTCTGGACACTGACAAAGTTCTCAATGCTTCGGTTTGAAGGTAGGGACCCTCATTATGCTACCGTGTTAGTGTGGGGCTATTTTGAGTCTTGTTAGTGGTATTACAGTTTTTTACAATCACTTTGCTACTATTTTCAGAACCTTGATGTCATTTTTCAAAACTCTAGACACAAAACTCAAAACGATAATCACTTGTAACACAGGCTGTCTAATGTTCAAAACATTGCATTGTGCATTCACATCTTTAAAGAAATCTTGCACTTGCACAATCATTGGTTCAAAAAACAAATTAACTGTGAAATACCATTGAAACATAACTATAGATCACCCACACACAAGCAACCGATAGTTTCACTGTTTCATGGTTCGTACAATCATTAAATATTGTAGAGCAAAATAGGTGATACAGGTTTCATTATGGTCTACATGTACAGTAAACACATCTCTGTGAAAGCACTGCAGTCGTAGAGAGAATATTACAGACACAGTGGAATCATTGTGAACAAAGTTTGTAATATATTGATGCAAAACACTACAGTACAATCACAACATGGTTTTTTGAATCAAAGCAAAAATAATTAGCTATGAAATAGAAAAGAAAAGACAGTACTGTAAAACATCAAATGCAGTGTTCCTCAACTTGCTGTAAGAAACTAAACAGGAGTGATTACTGTACTTCGACACTGTCATCAACTCTGTGTTGTGGATTTGGCCACAGGTTCTCATCTACATCACAATGGATGTTGGAAAATGACATCTTGGAAAAAACCTTTGGCATGGCGAGTCCAGGCCTGACACTGCTCTGCTGTGATTGGCAGAATTGGACACGCAGTTACAAGGGCCTGCATCTATACAGTACTGTACTGTCAATACTGTACATAGTCTGAAAAGGTGGTACAGTATTTGGCACCATAGACACAGTGTCTGATGAAGCATTACAGTATGATAAAATATTAGGCTACATCCATGGATATTGTAGTCTAATTGGTTCATGCCATGCTAATTGGTGACAATGAATCTCATTATCTTGAAACTTTCATGATTTACTGTAAACATGGAAGATTGTGTGTCTGTTTCCATACAACTATGCATTAAGAGTAATGCAACAGTTACTTATCATTTTGAGCAGTTGTATCAATTGATAGTTAGATCATTGTAAGGAAATGAATAGACACTCATTTGAAATGTAATGTGTGAATTGCCTTTTGAAATAGTAGTACTTTGATGTTAAGTTGTGTCATATTGAACAGGTGATCTTTGTTGAATGAACAAATGATCTAAGTTTTATGTGTATTGTATCCAAGCAATTGAGAAAAGGGTTAGAGTTTTGAAAAATGTGCTTTTTGATCATTGGTTGTGAGTTTTGTGTCTAGAGTTGTGAAAAATGACATCAAGGTTCTGAAAATAGTAACAAAGTGATTGTAAAAAACTGTAACAAGCGATTTTTATTTGTCATTACACTATGCCCAATATACTAGCGTTATACTAGCTTTATAGGCTAAACTGTTTTTAGAGATAAAACTATTTACATTCGATAATCATGAAAACAAATCTCAGATAACGGTTGACTAGGTAACAATGTGTAATTAGACCAAAGGTTCATTTTGCGCCGGAGTTCTCCTTTAAGGTTACTGTACATCCTTCTAAGTGCAGATTATATTCTAAGAGATGCTGTGTACAGGTTTTTGGTCCAATAAGTAATACCTCAGTCTTAATTTAGAAAATGACTGGTCATCCAATATTTTACATCTTTAACACACTCTGTCAACTTGGATAATTTAGAGATTTCATAGTTATGCCACTTCGGCATAACAGTGGAAACTTATTCCATGTTTTCTTATAATATTACCAAGTGGCAGCATATACACTCACCTAAAGGATTATTAGGAACACCTGTTCAATTTATCATTAATGCAATTATCTAATCAACCAATCACATGGCAGTTGCTTCAATGCATTTAGGGGTGTGGTCCTGGTCAAGACAATCTCCTGACCTCCAAACTGAATGTCAGAATGGGAAAGAAAGGTCATTTAAGCAATTTTGAGCGTGGCATGGTTGTTGGTGCCAGACGGGCCGGTCTGAGTATTTCACAATCTGCTCAGTTACTGGGATTTTCACGCACAACCATTTCTAGGGTTTACAAAGAATGGTGTGAAAAGGGAAAAACATCCAGTATGCGGCAGTCCTGTGGGCGAAAATGCCTTGTTGATGCTAGAGGTCAGAGGAGAATGGGCCGACTGATTCAAGCTGATAGAAGAGCAACTTTGACTGAAATAACCACTCGTTACAACCGAGGTATGCAGCAAAGCATTTGTGAAGCCACAACACGCACAACCTTGAGGCGGATGGGCTACAACAGCAGAAGACCCCACCGGCTACCACTCATCTCCACTACAAATAGGAAAAAGAGGCTACAATTTGCAAGAGCTCACCAAAATTGGACAGTTGAAGACTGGAAAAATGTTGCCTGGTCTGATGAGTCTCGATTTCTGTTGAGACATTCAGATGGTAGAGTCAGAATTTGGCGTAAACAGAATGAGAACATGGATCCATCATGCCTTGTTACCACTGTGCAGGCTGCTGGTGGTGGTGGTGTAATGGTGTGGGGGATGTTTTCTTGGCACACTTTAGGCCCCTTAGTGCCAATTGGGCATCGTTTAAATGCCTACCTGATCATTGTTTCTGACCATGTCCATCCCTTTATGGCCACCATGTACCCATCCTCTGATGGCTACTTCCAGCAGGATAATGCACCATGTCACAAAGCTCGAATCATTTCAAATTGGTTTCTTGAACATGACAATGAGTTCACTGTACTAAAATGGCCTCCACAGTCACCACATCTCAACCCAATAGAGCATCTTTGGGATGTGGTGGAACGGGAGCTTCGTGCCCTGGATGTGCAGCCGACAAATCTCCATCAACTGCAAGATGCTATCCTATCAATATGGGCCAACATTTCTAAAGAATGCTTTCAGCACCTTGTTGAATCAATGCCACGTAGAAGTTCTGAAGGCGAAAGGGGGTCAAACACAGTATTAGTATGGTGTTCCTAATAATCCTTTAGGTGAGTGTGTATTGAAAATGAATCTAAGCTAAGCTGTGGATGTGAGCTAACAGTGCCTGTTCACGGAGTCACGGCAGCTTTATGAACAGGTTTGGTAAAAGCAAAGCTCTGAGTGCATCCATAAGCGTCTGCTCTTTCTGGAAGTGTTTATGGAATGTGGGATTTTCAGCTCTATTTTCACTTCTTCAGAAATGTAAGGTGAGGTTTCTCTGAGCTAAGCCTCTCTCCACAGCGCATGAATGCTTCCACTTATATCTCCGTCTCACAGCTTGATTCTCTTCTTCTTTTAGCTCCATTTTTCTGCATTTCTAAGTGATCTTTAGGCAAGCTACCCATTGGTCAATTTTGGAAATCTGGGCTATTTTGCCTCTATAACGTGTCTTCTTTCAGACTAGTGGCAAAAAATACACATTTTATTCAGTACTAGTTACTTGATCTAAGAATGTTTTTGTTTTTTACAGTGCACTGAAGAAGAAAAAAAGTTTTGTGGTTAAGGTCCATTTGGCCTCTTCTCTGCATAAATAATGAATATGGTTGCATGTTTGGCAATTTTCTACTTTTATTTACATTGTTTGTTCTTTAATTTATTATGCTGTAATGTCGTGATGTGTTTGCTCCTCTACTCAAAATAATCTGTTCAGTTGATTGTTACCCTTGTCATGTTTCACATATCCAGTGTTGAGGTCCGCGTGTGGAATTATAATGTATTTAGTTTTTGTCTCATGAGTATCATGTGATTTATGCCCATGTGATTTGCCACTACAGCTTAAACAGCAAGCATAAATCATAGAACAAACGTTATATAAGCTCTATCAGGCTGAGAAAATATTGAACAATGAAAAGCCACACTACAAAGATTGATTTCTTATTCAGTTTTTTTGCCTTGTTTTTCAGAACAAAATATCTCAACCTTCTTAAATGAAGATAGAATTACTAGAGATGCAAAATGACATTCGATATTTGTCACGTTGGGCTATGCAGACAGAGATGAAGGAGCAGGGAGAGGTAGATCTTAAAGTCCCGCTGTGTTGAAAATCAAGCTTTTAATGTTGTTTATATGTCTATGTGGTGTTTTTAATATGCTGCAAGACAAAGCATGTGTAAATTCATAAGTCGACAGCATTGCTGAGTATTTTCTCCTTAAAATTACAGTGAACCAAAGACAGTCTCAAAAACATGGTTTTAAATCGCTGGTGTTTCTGACGTCACAAACTACCTTGTAACCAATCAGATCAACGTGTGATCGTCAACCAGTGGATCTCTGAGCTGAGCGAGTGAGTGGAGGCGGGGCTCATTTACATATTCATAGAACCGAGCATACTAAATGAGGCAAGGGTGTCGAGTTACATTCAAGCTATTTTAAGGCATGAAGAATTTTTTTCTAGGAAAAATGATTGACTACAGGGGAACTTTAATATTAGTTTTTTAACTATTAATAAATAAAGATAATCCAAATAACAGGAATCGCAGGAGTGCAAAGACGTAACAGCTTTGGCTTCAACTCAAAGTCACTGCTAGAGAACAATGGACAGGGCTTAAATACACAAGACAACAACAAATTCAACCAGAAACAGGTGTGCAACATAATTGGTTGCCATGGCAACAAATGAAGAGTGGAAACATAGGGAAAAAACGAAACAGACGGTTGACTTTGTAGGGTTATAGGGGATTGCACTAAGTTTGAGCTATAGCAACAGTGATGCTTGATTAATCAACGACTAATAACACGGTAGTAAAATTCTTGATTTATTATAGTATAAGTGTGTAATCTCTATGACCAGTGTTGAGACTCTGCAATCACTCACCAGCATGTGTAATTGTGTGTCTGTCAGGTGACTCATGCACCAAAGGTGGAGCAGCAGGGTCAACTCTTGGGCTTGTTCGATGAGAAGGCGTTTCTGTCCAGTAAGCAGCTGAAGGCAGGTGAGGATCCTTACCGGGAACATGCGTTCAACCTGCAGGAGAGCGACCGGCTGGGGAGCGAACGCGCCATCAGAGACACACGCCACTATCGGTAATATGTTCATTTGTTAAATATTTGGGCTATTTCAGGACTTCTGTTATGTTAAAAGACTGGGTAAAACTTTTGTCCTGGGGTCAGATTGACCCACATTAGTTTCCAAGCAATGCACCAGAAATCGACACTATGAAAAACCCTAAGATTCATGTAAAAACAGAAGACCACTGTTGTAGACTTAAAAGATAAAATATGGGAGAAATGTAATAATTCCCACCAATTTCTATTGTTTTTTTCTATTATTTTGGGATATAAATATATATATATATATATATTAGGACTGCCAAACGATTAATCGCGATTAATCGCATCCAAAATAAAAGTTTGTGTTTACATAATATATGTGTGTGTACTGTGTACAATTATTTTTAATACATAAATACCCACACATGCATGTGTATTTAAGAAATATTTGCATGTATATACTGTATATAGACTGAATGTAGCCTATATATAATGTATGTTTTATATAAATATAAACATTTTATATATAAATAACATATTTTTCTTAAATATATATGTGTGTGCATTTATATACAAAATAATTATACACAGTACACACACAAATATTATGTAAACACAAACTTTTATTTTGGATGCGATTAATCGTGATTAATCGTTTGACAGCCCTAATATATATATATATATATATATATATATATATATATATATATATATATATATATATATATATAATATATATATTGTCATGACTATTTGTTGTGCCTATTTGCACACTAAATGGGGTTTTTTTTTACTATGAAACTCAGTAAATTTTCCCTGGGTGATTCAGAAGACGAGACTTCAATTGCGAGTAAACTTTGTGTCTTAAATTTCATAAGTTCTCATGTATTTCAAATTTTAGTCTTTGACGTCTACAAAAAAGGTTCTCTGTTTTTTTACCGGATTACCGGTTTTTCAAAGTGTTGATTTTTGGCATTTTTTGACTCCTTTTCAAAACACATTTATGTGTCGAAACTTTACTTGCACATGCATGACCTGAGAAATATTCAAGAATTGATATACATAGTTAATACATAGTTTAACTATTGATCTTCAAGCAGTTTAAAAATGGAATGCGTGTCAAGCTGACCCGAACACAACAGCGTTCAGCTACCAACAGACCTTAGTCAGGTTAGACGCCATATTGAATTGTAACGCAGATGAAAGGCTGTGAGGGATAGACGTACAGTCTTTATAATGATAAAGGTCCTAGATCACATCTTTTTCACAACTTACAACTTTTAAAACTGTTTTATGGAGTTATTATTGTATACTGATAGTTTATTCGTCAGCTGAAAAATCAGTATGTTGCTGCCAGTGTCAATATGGCGCTACGCTAGTGTAGTGTCTGTTCTGTTTAACTTATGTGACCATGTTTAAATCCTCTCCTTATGGCAATGCAATTGTCTACCATAGTGTGCACAGCCGTGACAATGAACCCCTCTGTGTGTGTGTGTGCGTGTGTGTGTGTGTGTGTTTGCTGCATTCACAGATGTGCCTCTATGACCTTTGACCCTGACCTGCCGCCCACCAGCATCATCATCACTTTTCACAATGAGGCGCGCTCCACCCTGCTGCGCACTATTAAAAGGTAACAGCCCAAACACACACAGAGTTTCTAGAGCTCTTCCACACACACACACACACACACACACACACACACACACACACACACACACACACACACACACACACACACACACACACACACACACACACACACACACACACACACAGCTTTACAGCAGCGCTTACATGCATGAAGAGGAAAATACAGCATTAATCCTGTTACTATTGAAGAACCTGCACTTGTGACCTTAAAGAGCTATTTCTACCTATTTATATAAACCTTTACTTGCAGATTATATAATATTAATGAAAAAAAGAGCACACACTTTTTGTAATTATGTCAAATTAAAAGTTTCACTTTAAATTACTTTTTAAATTGAAGTACACTTATTTTGATGTACTGATTAATATATTAAAGCACATTTAAAGTATTTGATTTTAATTTTTAAATGTAGTGTGTTGTTTGATATTACATTTAAAGTTAAAGAAGACCTATTGTGCTTTTTTCCATGTTCAACTTTTTTTCCAAAACCTCTGCAAAGATCCAAAGCACAAAGTCCCTCCGGCGGGAGTTATTCTCTACATCAGTGTCAGTGTTTCTGAACTCCTGAAACGCCTCCATTGTAGTCTCGAGTTTCTTCCGGGAACGAACACGTCACAATATTCCTCATTTAAATAATTCATACGCAGAAAAAAGGGGCGGGGCCTGGGTGAGTTAGTTAGTAGTGTGTTGAAACTGGTGGTTATGGTAAGGGGCGGGACATTTCCCAAACACGCTCGAAGCGCTTGACCAATCACAACACACTGCTCCAGCCGACCAATCAGAGCTCAGTGTGCTTTTCAGGTCAGAGACAAAAACTAAACGTTTCCCGAAAGCATCGTTGGCCAACTATGATCGCAATTTCCATTGAACTCTATTGGTAACGGCGGAACTTGCGACCATAGTTGGCTTTGGGAAACTCACCTCAGAGCGTTACTGACAGACTGGGAAGAGACAAGCTGCAACTATGGAGAATATGGGGAAATAATGTGTGTTTTTTAAACATTCAAGCATGAAAACCAGAGCCCAAAAACAAAATCAAGACTTTGTAAAAGGGCATAATATGGCTTCTTTAATATAATTTGAATGTACTATATTCCAATTTCATCATTACAAATGTGTAACTATGAATATATTTAAATACATCACATACAAGTTTCAATAGAAGTGGCATTAAAGACTTCTAGATTACCACAAATGCTTGTCTTTTCATTCAGCAGTACACGTTAAACATATTTCAAAGACAATAGAAATAATTATGAAAGTAAAGATGTACTGTCTTAAGCGGGTCAAAAGAGCATTGTAAAGTTCAACTAATTGCTTTTGAATTACATTTAAACTATAATACATTTTCATGTAACATTACATTCAGTATATTCTAACAAGTAGTAGTCTGCTAAAGTGCAGTTCTTCTTCACAAGGCATTAGCTCTGCGATCACAGTGGTTTTATAGGCATCTGTTGGGGTGTTACGAGTCGCTCACTAGCGCAAGTAAAAAGAGCCCAGCCACACCTGCATAATTTAAGCTTTCATTCATGTCTGTAACAACAGAGCAGGACAAGTTACACACAGAAGTTTAATACTTAGGGTAAGGTGTAACGCATCAGCCTTTTTATATGGTATGTTGTTATTCACCCTGTTCTTTTGTTTCAGTGTACTGACGAGAAGCCCGCCTCATTTGATACAGGAGATCATTCTCGTGGACGACTTTAGCTCCGACCGTGAGTAGAGCTTCATTTCACACACTCACACACACATACACACACACAAAAGCACTGAATGATGACAAAGTGTTTCCTGCATTTGTGTGCGCTCATATTTGACCTTTGAGGACGCATTAGCTGTAGTTCTTTATAAATATTGCTCATTCTATGTTCATCAATGAGCCAAGACTGAACCCGGCCCTGCTGTTGTCATGGCGAGGAAACAAACGGCACAATCAGAATCGCAGCTCTGTTGTGATTAATGTTGTGGAGCGACAGAGAGACATGAAGTTGGCAAATGTGATTTTTCCCTTTACAGAGATCATGTGTTGAGCTTAGGCAGTGCTTTATGCAAATACACACACACACACACACGCAGAGATGCAAGCAACTGAAAATGAGATAAGACTGCACTACTGATTGCTTCAAGGGTTCAGGTCTGATGAGTTACAGGAACTATGTCAGGTTTCTGAACTACAACACTGGAGTATTAGCCAGATCTAGGGTTACAGTGCTAATCATATACAGTGAATAAACTGCAAAACTGATTGGTCTCACTTTATATTAGCTGTCTTTAAAGGTTCTCTAAGCGATGTCGAGTGACGTCACTTCTTGTTGACGTTTAAAGTATTGTCAAACAAAACAGAGGCTAGCTAGACCCTCCCTCCTCCTCATCCGCGCACTAACCCCCCAAACCCCGCCCCCAAGTCCTTCTTGTCGGTGATTGGCTGGAACTGTTTGTCATGTTTCGTGGAGCGGGTTAGCCCAGTTTGTTTTTGTTGCTGTTTGTGGAGCCTGGGCTATCTACAGAGATCGCGTTTCTTTACAGTGTGTTCAGGGGACAGGCAGCCAGCGGATAGTGAGGAGATGTTTGCTGTATGTGACAAAAATGTTTTGGCCTAAAAAACGCGTGACATCGCTTAGAGCACCTTTAATACGTACTTATGTAAAAAAAAAAAAAAAAAAAAAACGTTAGGTACAATGTGCTTAATTATTGTGTTCAGCTTGTGCTGCTGTTGAGGTGGACACGGTGCGGTTTGGTGTATAGGTTTAAGGCTTGGTTAAGATGTAAGGGAAGGGTTAAAAGTATCATTATAGATATTTTTTTATATATATATAAATACAATGTAAAAACGTGTGTACACAATGAGTGTTTAAAATGATTAATATAAATGTTAGTACATATTTAAATCGTCTAAATGATTTTCTTACTCAGATGTTTTGTCTTGTTATTCAGTACAAATATCTAAATATTCTTAAATCAAGATAGATTTAGGCTACATTAGATTTTAAGTCTTGCTTTCGGAAATATGTATTAAAATTTTGTATTAAGTGTATGCTTATAACAAGAACAAAATGCCAATGGTGTAATTTGAATTTGTTCTTTTTCTTATCCCATTGACAGATTTGATTAATTTTCAAACTTAAGAAACCACTTAGCTTTATGGGTTAACATTACATTAAACAGTCAGGTGGCTGGTTTTGACATTGGCTGTCATGAGGCCGTTATAACATTTTAATGACAAATTCAATGTGTACCACTGTAGTCGAGGTCAAGAAACATATTCATGACACAGTTATAATGGCCTCATGACGTCAAAACCAAACACAGTTTAATGTAATGTTAACCCATAAAGCTAAGTGGTTTCTTAAGTTTGATAATGAACCTGCTATGTCATGTTTATGACATATTTATGATGTTTGTTTATATAAACGTTTGTTGTGTTGTCTTAGTAATCTCAAGTTGTCATGGCAAAGACATCTCAAACAATGTCATATTTGCATTAAAAATGTCATAATTGAGCGAATGACACTTAATGACAGTTGTCATAAACATGCATAAAAACTCCTTCATATTCATGACGTGTGTCATATCATGGTTATGAAGGTGTCATGTCAGTCTTATGCACACCCCTTCAAGTAAAGTGTTACCATATTTTTTTTCAGAGAGACTTTTTGCTTCTCTTGTAAATGTATCTTGATTTAAGAACGTTTAGATATTTGTACTGAAAAAAGACAAATCCTAAAGTGAGAAATGTATTTGTTATTATTGCAAATACTGTTTTATAATTTGCGCAAACAGCCTCTGGCCATCTTTAAATATAACTGGACTAAAGCTATAAAGATTTCACTGACCTCAGACATGAGAAGCTGTGTGTTTATTTCAACGCATGTTAAACTAACACAGTGAGTTTGTTCAGAAGTTTGCAGGCTGGTGTTTGCTAAGTTCATGGCATTGTATCTCACTGTTTGAGTTTTGCTAGAACTGCATCTAGTCAGGCTCACACAGTCAGTCAGTATCTTGAACTGTATATTTGTCTTTGTTATCAGAGTCGGTGAAATATGTGTTGCTCCGCACATCTGGATGGAGGAGCGCAGGGTTGTTGGCAGGACAGAAAGCTCTATAATAATTTAAATGAGCTTTGAGTTTGTTGCTGGATAAACTACAAAATGCGCCAGGTTTGATTTATAGACCAGATTGTAGAATGTTTTATTTGCTGATAAAAAAAGTACCTCACACAAAAGAAATGGTACAGGTTATTGTTCATTTTGGTTCAGGTTTGTCACAAAACATGATTTCTTATTTTATACAACTTGAAATTAAAACGATTATTTACTTTTTTTTTTTATGATATTTAATGCATCAACTCCCAACTTTTTTTTTTGTCAGCCGAACCCCTTTGATCTAAAATAATTACTTGCAGTACCTACTGAGATTTTAAGTAAATATTTTAATAATTTACACAATCGCATATTCAATTTTCCATAAATGCTTTCCAGTACATTTGGCAGCACACTTTAAACATATTTCAAAGGCGATACAATTATGCAATTACACATAAAGATGTACTTAAGACCTTCTTAAGTGGGCACTCTTAATTGAATTTGATGTAAAATGAAACTATAATAGGTCCTTCTCAAAAAATTAGCATATTGTGATAAAGTTCATTATTTTCCATAATGTAATGATAAAAATTAAACTTTCATATATTTTAGATTCATTGCACACCAACTGAAATATTTCAGGTATTTTATTGTTTTAATACTGATGATTTTGGCATACAGCTCATGAAAACCCAATATTCCTACAGAGAAGCACCATCACTGACTGTGGGTACTTGACACTGGACTTCAGGCATTTTGGCATTTCCTTCTCCCCAGTCTTCCTCCAGACTCTGGCACCTTGATTTCCGAATAACATGCAAAATTTGCTTTCATCTGAAAAAAGTACTTTGGACCACTGAGCAACAGTCCAGTGCTGCTTCTCTGTAGCCCAGGTCAGGCGCTTCTGCCGCTGTTTCTGGTTCAAAAGTGGCTTGACCTGGGGAATGCGGCACCTGTAGCCCATTTCCTGCACACGCCTGTGCACGGTGGCTCTGGATGTTTCTACTCCAGACTCAGTCCACTGCTTCCGCAGGTCCCCCAAGGTCTGGAATCGGTCCTTCTCCACAATCTTCCTCAGGGTCCGGTCACCTCTTCTCGTTGTGCAGCGTTTTTTGCCACACTTTTTCCGTCCCACAGACTTCCCACTGAGGTGCCTTGATACAGCACTCTGGGAACAGCCTATTTGTTCAGAAATTTCTTTCTGTCTTACCCTCTTGCTTGAGGGTGTCAATGATGGCCTTCTGGACAGCAGTCAGGTCGGCAGTCTTACCCATGATTGCGGTTTTGAGTAATGAAACAGGCTGGGAGTTTTTAAAAGCCTCAGGAATCTTTTGCAGGTGTTTAGAGTTGATTAGTTGATCCAGATGATTAGGTTAATAGCTCGTTTAGAGACCCTTTTCATGATATGCAAATTTTTGGAGATAGGAATTTTGGGTTTTCATGAGCTGTATGCCAAAATCATCAGTATTAAAACAATAAAAGACCTGAAATATTTCAGTTGGTGTGGAATGAATCTAAAATATATGAAAGTTTAATTTTTATCATTACATTATGGAAAATAATATGCTAATTTTTTTAGAAGGACCTGTACATTTTAATTTAATTGCAATGAACATGCAATTAAGTGTCTGGAAACATTACATTCAGTTTGCACACTGTTATCAATTAATAGTTACATTGCAAGCAGGCAAACAAACTAAACATTACTGTAAGCTGTTGTCAAAATCATTGTGATGGATATGAAAGAAATGTACATACAAAGCAACTTTTGGATTGCTATCAATGAAGCAAGATGCTTCCCCCCACACAGTGTCGTACTGAATCCACCAGCCGAAGCTTGCCAACCCTGTCCATATCAGATCGTGTACATGATGGGGGTGTTGATCATGGTGGCGAGGAGCTTGGCGGTTTAGCTCTAGGTTTCTGTGTATTTGAGAATGGCCATGTTTATTCAATGTAATTACCTCCAACAAATGAGCCTCGGCGGTGCCAGCTAGCATCTGTCCTGACTGGGTTCACCGCACCGCTTTGAAACACTGCCAGGCTTCATGCTGTCGCTGCAACCTTTTCCTTCTGCTGGACAATATGCTTGCACAGTCAGGCATGTAAACCTGCAAATGAGCTTTTGTGTTCTGAGCATCTTTAAAATCCTGTTAACGCTAGTCTTAATCTTAACACACCTTTCATCAGCAGGACCATGTGACGGGCAGATCTTCACATCTCAGTGTTTGGACACATGCAGATAATCACAAACACTTCGATTTCTTGCTTTCTCGCGCTGTATATCTCATTTTAGTGCTGTTTGTTAAGACAAGTATTGCTATTGCTACTGATTATACGTAGGCTTAGTGATTAGAAAGTCAGACTGGTAACCCGAAGGTTGCGGGTTTAAGTCTTAATACTGGAAGAAATGACTGAGATTCCCTTGAGCAATGCATCAAACCCCCCAATCGCGCCCCGGGTGTGTGTGTGCGTGTGTGTGTGTTCACTTCTCACTACTTCTAATGCGTGTGTGCACTAACTTGTATGGGTTAAATGCAGAACACAAATTCTGAATATGGGTTCCCATTCTTGGCCTTCACATGTCACTTTCACTAAATATAAGAGTATTAAACTCGTCGAGTTGAGACCTCAATCAGGGATGCCAAGTCAGCAGTTTTCAGCTACTTTTTAACAGTTGCCATGGTTTGACATGTGGCATAAATTTAACTGAAATGTTTGCATTGAAATATTTTATATTCTACCAATGATAAAACCGTGCTACATGTTCAGTTTTGTGAAGGAGGGTCGCTAGTAGGTAGCCTTT